TCCTGTTACATTTTCAAGCAAGATCTTGGTCAAATGACTTCCCCAAAAAATGGTTATGTGTCTCGACCTGAAGTGTCTACGAATCCTCAGAATAGGGTAAGATCTAAGAAAACACTGGGTATAAGACTGTACTACCAGCAAGCTGCAAGGCAAGTCACTTACATTAGTCATGTGTCATACACTTTTCAACACTGAACACTGATGTCAGAAAGTTACACTAACTTAGGTCCCTGATTATAGGCATAATCCACCATTTTGAACCCACAATTAGAAATATTACCTGTCTTTATATTTTTCCACTATGCCTGTTGTAAAAAACTTTTTTTTTTTCCTCCTCCTCTAGAGTATAGCTACATGATGTATTAGTAGCTTGCTGCAAGTTGCTCTAATGTACAATTTCCTTTATTCTCCCTCTAGCCCCATAAGGATAACTGTCACCCTCACCAGCTGGTACTATCTAGATTAAAAATAGACTTTAGCTGCACTATTGCAAATTTCTCCTGAGGATACCAGCAGCAAGAGATTTGACTACAATTCTTTCTACAGACAGCATCTAGAAACACATTAGAAATGACATCCCTCTCATCTTCTAAAGCTCTTAACACCACTCACTCCTGCCTTGCCCTCAGTATCTATCTCCACCAACTCTTCAGAATAATCAGCTGCCTGATTCCAATTAGTTTTGATAAACTAGTAAGGATATAGTCCCATTAAATTGCTGGCAACAGCTGTAAGGGTTTTGGCTCCTCAAAGGCAAATTATTAACCTCTGGTTCACCAGAACTCTGAGTAGCAGTCATTTTCCTTTTCACACTTAGATAATATGAAAGAATGTCAAAGCTCTGAAGGCGCATATCATTGTGCTGCCTGTAAAAGAATATGAAAAAGAAGGCCAGCTGGCACAATTTGCTTAGAAAGAACAAGGAATCATTACTATTACAAATCGACCTCCATCTTCTCAGCTATACCTTAAGAAAAATAAGAGACATTAAACATCTCTTCCATCCGCACTACACTATTAAAGTAGAAACAGGATGCATGAGGGCATAATATGGAGTGACAGGAATCAGAGTTAAATTCCCAGTACTTTTGCTTGTTTCCTGAGTAGCTATAGGTAAATCATTCCTGTATTATTATATGCGGATGAGATTCCCTTTTTTGGTTCATTTTTGACTGCACTTTATTTATTATTATTATTAATAATAATAATAATACTTGGATGGTTGATTGGGATATTGAAGGCATATTTCAGCTATAGGATGGAAACTCTGTAAGGAGAAGGGCCTAGGAGCTTAGCAATGCCAGCTTGCTATTCACCACTCCATCCTCTTACGAAGCAGGTAGGAATATCTCTTTAAGGATGTACATAGGGAGGGATGTACATAGAAATAGAGAGCTTCTTTAGATCTACAGCATGTATTGAGATCTATTAATTACGCTTGTGAGAAAGGTCTATGTACAAGATGGGAGCAAGACACAGTTCAGGGCCACTCTCTTCCACTAGGAGAAATAACATAATTTGGTTTGTAAAGCTTGAAATGTTCTGTTAGAGTAGAGGGGATATTATGTCATAGTAGAAGTACTTAAAATGATATGCTTGAGCCCATAAGTGCTACTGTAATACAATTACTTTAAAATAAATTTAAAATAGTACTATATTGTTTACTATAACAAGGAGATACTTAAACAAAGAGATGACAGAAAATTAAGATCAGAGACAAGTTAGCAGACCAAAGAGAGAATGACAAGGGAATTGTGTTATTGGGAACAGAAAAATCTTGTGCCTTATCAGGAAGGCGTCATGCCTCTTTATCCATGCTGGTGTAAAGTTGCCTTGTGTTGAGAGCACACAGATTGGACTGATTCGGGGAGCTTTAATTTTCTTTTCTTTCTCTTGCCCTGGTCTTTCTGGAGGTGGAGCTTTCTAATGCATGGTCACTGCAAGCCTTTTGTGAAACTTTTGGTTTTTTGATGTGGGCTGGGGAAAAGTTTGTGTCCAAACTGCATGTTCAACAGGGATTTTCAGTAAAGCTGCTTTCAAGTCCAGCCTACAGATGACTCTAAGTGCTAGTCTGGGGTCAACAGCACATAGATATATTGGCCTGCTGACAATATAGTGGAATACATCTCCTGTCAGCATCTTAAAATGCTCAGTGATAAGGCTCCTAACTTCCCTCTTGGAGTTATTTTAAATAATTACCCTGCATGCTCTGTGTATCCTAACAGCACCTAAGGTCTAGTGAAGTCTATGTCAAAGCAGTATCCATATTTAGGGAAATGAAGTACTCATTCATTCAAAACCAAAGAAACATGAGTGGAAGATAATTTTTCATGTCTTCTTGACAACTGGAAAAAAACAAACAAACAAACAATGAAATCCAGCTTTTAAAATACATATTCCCTTTCAATAATTTAATAAACCATGCTGTCATCTCAATAAAGAATCAGGATGGTTGCCATGGTGACAAAGATTATCCTCGCTGCTGCTTGATTCTGTCATTTTTCTAAACATGAATTCATAATATTTAGGATTTATTAACAATGTGTCACATTGATAGAGATAAATTGCATGCTTTAAACTGGCCATGTAAGTCTTCTATGATATTATAGCCGCTTTGTCAACTCAGCAATAAGATATGATGTGATTACTAGAAAATTAAAGCTATTTGTCATAAAGGATAAAACAGAGAGTATCAGACCTCTCAGAATAGAAGAAAACTCAATAACCTAATGTGTTTGCTTTTTAAAAAAATATTTTGGAGTTGGCCAGCAGTTGCTATTTTCTGCCTTGTAAATTGATCAAGATCAGCATATATAGAAAATGGATTTATTTGCGCCAGCAAAATTTAGTCTGTTATGCATCAGAATTGATGAGGTCTAGGCTGCAATATATTATAGTCATTCAAATTTATGGGAAGCTTGTGAAGAGATCTTAATGATAGCAAATTTTGCAATATATAAAGATATATATACTTGCACTTATATATTACGAAGATGTATTTCATTTCAACAAATTTTGAGGGAGTGGTTTACATATGTGGTATCACAGATGTAGCAGGAAGTTAGATGAGCTTTCTGAATGCTCCTGGCTAGGAAATGTTTTTTTAAAGTAGATTATTGAAGTATTCATGTCAAGTAAGCAGAAGCGAAGCCAATTTAGATGGGCTCTATGGTCATTGCCCTATATAAAGAGGGAAAGCGAAAGGGAGAGAGAGAGAAAGACAGAGAGAAAGGGAGGAAGGAAGGAGGGAAGAGAAAGGATGGAAGAGGAAGGAAGGAAGGAAGGAAGGAAGGAAGGAAGGAAGGAAGGAAGGAAGGAAGGAAGGAAGGAAGGAAGGAGGGAAGGAAGGAAGGAAGGAAGGAAGGAAGGTCTTTAAAAAAAATAAGGATTCATATCTTTTCAAGGAAAAACAACCTATTTTATATAGTGGGATACATAATAGATGGATTTAATGGAACTGAGATACACACTTTAGGATAAGCAACCCTCTATGTAACTCTAGTTGAAGAATAATGAATTTTTACTTAGTGAGGCACACTCATCTGTGTGTAGAATGTCCTCTTGATTTGCTTAAGTATATTGCCATGTAGAGGAAATGACTCTCCTGACTTTAAATGACAAGCTTTGGAAGCAGTTTAGGGAGGCAGTGTGTAGAACTGCACAGAAGTACTCAGAGTGAGGAAGGCATCCTCTGCCTCTATATTATCCTTGCCAAAAGCTGAGACACATGGATTATGTTGCCAAAAAGAGTTTATGCATCCTTTTAAACAGAATAAGTGAGAAACGTATGAAAAAAAAAGAGAACATACAAAACCAAACCAACCTCAGTTGAAATACAATATATCAGTGTGGCTTGATTTCTTCTTTGAGGCAAAACAATAAATAAGCTGCATATCCTGGCTGCAAAATATCTAACCTTAAGAAACAAAGATGCACCTCCTGTAGAGTCTAGTATGGTTTGCATATGCTTTTTTCAAAGATGAATTTGATCCGATATTTTATATCATTTTCCCACTACAGGAGATATAAGTGTATTGCCATAAACCAGACACTCTGTATATTCTTAATGGACTTATTGGTCACTCATCATAAAAGTCCTTTGTACACAAACAATATTAAGTAATTGATTTATTTCTCTTTTTCTTTTTCTTCTTTCACATATTTTGTATTTTCTGGAATTATTAGTCTTTTTTAGCAAAATAAAGACAGTAGAAAAAAATCAAATACAGAGGTGTATGGCAGTAACATAGCATCAGCATTACAGGTGAGAAATTCTGTTCAGTAGTAGTTCAGTGGTGTAGCAAGAGGTCAAATAAATACTGTCGCCCTTCCTCTCTAATAAGGCAGGTCTCAGCCATCACTTATTATTTATCAAAAGTCCTTTTGTATGTAACACCATTAAAATAAATCATTCTCAGATTCTGATCCCTAACCCAAGAACTTTTATCTCTGTAATTTGTATGCAACATTGTGTCTACCTTTTATTATATGGTAGTTACTGATTGGCAGTTAGAATATTACAAAATTTAGAAAGTGTAGTAATAAGAACATTTTCTCTTCCAAAAGTATTTTGCAAAACATAAATACTAATCTTGGTAGATAACCAGAAATAGGTACAGAAAAAATGCTTAGTAAAAGCAGACTTTTTGTGATTCATAATTACTCTTTGTTACTATATAGCTGTTGCAGATCAGAAAAACCTATTCTTGTTTTAATGAGAAGTTGTGTCACTTAATTTAAAATGGAATAATTATTAAAGTCACTTAATATTATGATTTTTGTGCATATATGTTCTGTTTTGTCCATATATGTTCTGTGTGACTGTCTGTGCATAAATGTGTATATATATATATATAATAAATCCTTATTGTATATGTAGTTGAAATGTCATAGCCATAACATTTGCAGCATTTAATTATTTTATTATTAGAATGTATATTTTCTCTATGTGAAAATTCTTTTAATATTGATAAATGAACTCTACATTGTATTGTTTCCAGAAATTCATAAAGAGAAACTGGAAAGACATGAGAAACGAGCATCACCAAAGGGTAACCTTTTTTTTTATAATGTTTATGTAGGTATGTGTGTAATATATATATTGCATTTATGAACTACATATGTTACCGCTGCTACATTACAAAAGCATTCAAAGATATGCAGATTGTTAGATGGTCAAAACTGAGTGTATGCTATAGTTTAAGCATTAAAAAATTGAGATATGTTGTAAACGCACATTGCAAATAAGATTCTCCTGCACAAACTTATCCAAGAGTCTAATAAACTTCCTTTGGTGTAAAATATGTGAAGTGTGTTGGGTAGGCAAGAAAGCAAATTTATGGGCCAGTGGGTGCGCTCCAAGTTAGGAAGCCATACTTAATAGTGAGCCAGGTGCATAGCAGAGATAAGGAGGGCTTCCATTTTAAGAACCAACTTTTTTTTCAGAATGCGTAGTCTCCTCTAACTGTCACTTTCTAAAAATCCACAGAGGAACTGGTTTGCACTGGTTTTCTGAAAGTATGTAAACAGAGAAGTTTCCTGCGACATGCAGTTTTTTGCCTAATAGAGTTTCTTCTGTAAAGGTTAGGCTGAATAAAATTTGACGAGCATCTCTCTGATGCACCAGTGCTATGCTTGGTAATGGCAAGAGGAAGCAGGAAGGAAGCTTATTAAAAAAAAAAATGAATACACATACACACTCACTTACACATGTATATTTATTTTATATATATTCTGTATAAGTGTTTATGGTATTTTACAGTCCTAATTCTAGCTTTCCAATTCTGCACTAATCAGGCTCGTTTGGAGCTCCTAGAACTGTTTCCCAACTACTTAGTAAATCACATGGTAAGGAATTATTTTTTTTAGACTATCAGCTGGCTAGCTAGGCAATAATAAACTCAAGAATCCCATTCAGAGACTTTTCAGACATTGTATTCTAAAAACATAAATGAATTTGCAGTCTTGACCAAAGTAGCCTCTTGTGTACCATCTAACTCTGTACAGAAAAGCCTTGCTTTACATTAAAAAAACATTAATGTTGCAGAGGTGATCACTAGGAAGTTATAAGATACCAGAGAAAAAGCATTCAGGTGTCATTACTGAAGTCCCTTTATGCACACACTTTCAAAATGCAGTCTTTAATTACACAGTCACTTCCTGAAGCACAAGAGAAATAGTTTTTCTGTTCTTAGTTCTTATATATTTTAGCTCTAGCGAGGCATCTTGGAGGAACAACTACAATAAAAAAAGTTCTGTCTGACCTCCAATAGAGCATGATATAGATCTGAATCTTTAAGGACTTTTATTGCTACTCTCTAACAAATGTCCAGTAAACATATGTCCAGTCTTTTGTAGTTTTTTTAATGGGAAAAAAAATCGAGAAATAAAATGCATCTTTCCTCCAGAATCACAGAACGACTGAGCTTGGAAGGGACCTGTAGAGATCATCTAGTCCAACTCCCCTGCTCCATCAGGGACACCTAGAGCACGTGGCACAGGGTGGCATCCAGGCAGGTTTGGAAGATCTCCAGAGCAGGAGACTCCACAACCTCTCTGGGCAGCCTGTTCCAGGGCTCTGTCACCCTCACAGGAAGGAAGTTCTTCCTAATATGGAGATGGAACTTGCTGTGTTTTAATTTATACCCATTGCCCCTTGTCCTGTCACTTATAGAAGCAAATACTCCAACAAAATTTTAATCCCGTATCAAAACATATGAACACCAGTTTAATAGAAGTATTTTTAGGTATATTTTTGAAAGGTCATGCCCTCTTCCCCTCCAATCAATCCTTAAGGTTCTTAGGATTATATGGGAGTTCTACCCTTTAACTTCACTTTGGAAAGATTGTACAAAATTATCAGAAATATATACTGGGGATGGAAATTCCAGATGGAAGTGGCAGAAATTATAAAACAGGTTATTATAATATGAAAAATCTGGCTAACCTGCACTAATATCTGTCTATAACTAAATTTTTTTTATAAACAACCAATAATAGATTCTATTTCAATTATTATATTTATTCATTTTGATTCTGAAAAGAAGAAAGATTTTGAGAAATGACTCAAGAAAGTATTTACTAAAATGCAACAAAATTAGTTTACTTCATGATTACATATATAGATAAACACAAATTATCTATTACAATGGAGTCATTCCAATTTGGTATTTTATATATTAGTATTTTCACAAGGACCAGCAGCACCATGGCCAGGCCAGGTGCTCCATAAGATGCAGTTGTTGTTGTTTTGTTGTTGCTTTTATTACTGTCAATGACTAAGAGGTAAATATGCAATTATTTGGTAATAGGGAAGGACAGTATTTAAATACGTTGAAAGAAAAGCACATAAGAGTAAATCATTTCAATCTTATGGAAGATCTTGGTGTAATGTTAACCCAAATTAACAGATAATATCATCTCTATTTCTAAAGAAAAAATGGTATTAGCAGTAAAATTAATTAACCTGCTTTCCTAGAAAAGAAGAGCTGCTATAAGTACAGTCATTTGTGGAAGCGTGGGAAAAGGTTGATTTACTGTGGACACTGAAAATTTTCCCATATATGTTCCCATATTTGTTCACTAGTGCACTGCTGGTGGAGCGAGAGATCGAAAAAGGTCATGTGGTGATGAAATGCCACCTCTGATATTGGTGCATTAAGACACAGTGATTTACGGAAAGTGTGCCTCTGAATTACAATAAGCCTTCTGTTCTTTGCAGAAGGTATTGCTGAATTCAGACTGATTTTACAAATAGATTCCAGTCCCTTCAGAACTATTACATTTACAATGCATCCCACATAGTTGTCTCTCCTATTCCTATCAACTTGTGAATAGGTCCCTAGTTATAATGCAAATATTACACATGATAGAATAAAGCTGTCTGTGTTTTAGTGTACAGATAAATTATCAGATTATGAAGACAAATATAATATATCCCCATAATCTAATTTGCTATAGCAGGAAGATATTTGAGACAGCTAAGTAGTTAAATAGAGTTGGGCCATAAAAATCCACAACGTACTAGCAACCCAAATAAGCTGACAGAATTAGCAAGTTAAATAGTGTATTTACATTTAACACAGGCCTACCTGCCATGATACCTAGAGGCATAGCTAGAGATGCACCTGAGCTAACTTTAAGCTAAATAGCACGGGTACAAAAAGCCATGTAGCAGCAGTGGCTCAGGATAAAATTGTGAAGCATTTGTTTAGCTGTATAAGTTTATGGAAGCCTATGGTGAAGCCAATGCTACAAGTAGCAGTCAAACCTAGATTCAGTTCAGATGACTGTAAAACAGTCTGACTGCTGCGGTTAAATCTATTTTTAAACGGTATATACATACACGTCTTGAGCAGTTGTCTGGCTCTTCCATAGACATTTACATTCAGTGTTGAAGGGCTAAATCCAGCCCAGGGTTAGGCACTTCAGTGAGAAGCTTTTGCATGTTGGGGCAGGTCTGTGCAAGCACAAAAAAAAGCCTCTCCCTCTTCACAGGTAACCAAGACACTTTGTAACAAGTTTAGTGGCTTCCAGAGTTTGTAAACTGCTAAGTTTCCTTAGATGACTTTTTATTTGTTTATATATTTATGTGTCTCTGTGTGTGTGGATTCCTTCAAGTAGGATCAAGTCACAGCCATCCCAGGCTACTTCACTTCTGAATAAGAGCATCTCTGCAGAGGTTTAATGCTGTCTAACGTTAGTTAGACACTTTAACTCCATTTCATTAGTTCGTTTATCTTGCTTTTCCTGAGTGTTCCTCTGCAGGCAAGCATTAGTTAGAGCAAGCAGTCTCGGGTCGCTGCATATTGCACTCATCACCTATCTTTATACAAAGCAGCAGACTAAGACTTACTCAGCTGGGAACTATTTTTACTTCCCTTAGGTATGGAACTGGTGCCTGCCTCCTTATTACAGCTCTTCTTTTTGCACTTACTTTTTTTGGGCAGGGAAACATTATCCAATATGCCCTCAAAACCCTCTACTAAGAAAACTAAATCTGTTTTCCCCTTCACCATTTCTTCCATTTGATGCAAATCATACATGCTATTAGATGATTGAAATTTGGGAGAACACCCCACGTATACGCCATATTTCTTGTTTTTAATTTTTTTGAAGTGAGTGGATAGCAAGTTTGGGATATATTCTTAAATTACCTTAAAATTTTCCATTATAAGTTTCTATTTTAGATTATTTATAAATTTACCACACTGCAGTCATTCAGGATGAAATTTTTCATGCTTGGCTCTTTGCCTCAGGCTGAATTTTCATTCAAAGTCACATTAAAATGTTTCAGCAATTTCCAAAATCTAGGTTAGTGAAAATTAGGTTGGGATATATTTTACAATGCTAATAACAGTCCTTTCTGAGCTTATGTTTCTTAGTATTTGCAAGGAAGTCCAAGCAAATTCAGTGAACTTGTGGAAAAATCTCAACTTACAGAATTCTTGTAAAAGTGGTTTTAATTATTCTGCTTATTTTTCTGGGTTTATCAGACATCTTATTAAAAAGAGAAAGACAAAGAGATGATCTTTTAATTACAGAATGTTTCATATAACAAACAAACATATAAAATGGTTGAATTAGCGGCTTTACTTCTGGCATTTTTCAGATGAAGTATGTTTAACTTAGCAGCCTTAAAACCGTTTATGTGCTTTCTCTTTATTTCATATGTGCAAAAATATTACATTTACTCTGGTTTATTTTCCAGAAAAATGGCAGTATGGCTTGACTTATTTCTGAAACCTAATCCTTGTGCCCTCCCTACCCTCTTAAACACCAAGAACACCTTGTGCCCTCTTAAACACCAAGAAAAGGGAATGTATTAAGCTCTCCTAAAAGAAAAATATATCCAGGCAACAAGACCTTGAAAAGGCCTCTACAATTTAAAATATTTTGTATGACAGAACTTATGCCAATCTACACAAAGCCGAACATGAAAACATTTGAAAAGAAAAAAGTCAAAGAGTTAGTTTATTTTAAAAAAAACATATTTACAAACATATTTACATTTGTCGTACCATAAGCTTCAGTGGACTTTGCTCTCCCTGCACTGTGATTCAAGAGGCAAAAATGGCCAGGCATCACAGTCCGGGAATGTGAACCCTTTAATTTTGGCAGCACCTGCCCTTCCCAGATAAGCTCGTACCCAAAAGCCACAGCTCTGACCTTGTCCATATGAGGTAGTGGTAAGCACTACAGTCTGCGATCAGCATCCACGGAGGCTGTGGAGACATCAGCACGCAGGACAGGGCTCTTGCATTAATTAGAGACACCTTCAGCCTATCATTGGGAAGAGAAAAATAGTTTACGCTTATGCCAGCCTGGTGTCTGCTTATCCACATTCCAGGCTCTCTGCCCAGATATATCAAGCTGCTTTTGCTTCTCAGGAAGGAGCCAGCTGATTTCTTCTCCATGTTTTTACCTTGAGGTCCACACAAATATTAATATTTCTCTGTGTTTGAGCCTCTTTATACCATTTTGACAATGGAAATTGCCTTGAATTACACTTGTGTCCACTTTAAGATCCACTGGCACTCAGTGCAGTTCATATTTTCCAAGGCTCGTTTTGATTTTTTCCAAAGCATGAAACAGGGAGATGCTATGGGAAAGCGAGGAATGAAAAACAGGTTTGGAAGGATGATGTGTATCCTTCACACGTTTGATGTTTAGTGGCTAAGAACAAGCTTTTCTCTTGTCATTCTGTTCAGCATGGTTCAGCTGTACTTTTTGGCAGAGAGACCACAAGGACTCTTGTCAGATGTACAGAAGCTTGTGCTTTGACCATCAAAGCTACTGTTTGCAAATCGGTGCTGCTGCCCTAACTCAAACTGGCACTACACTGGCTAGAAATATTTTGCACTGTGCTTGCACTTTGCTAACACGGAGTTGTCCTGTAAGAACATGCTAATGTTTCATGCACTTTATCATGAACAAATGTATTAATGGCCTGACTTCTACAGGATATAGAGACCCAGGGGACTGCTTTGTCTTGGTAAGCTGCAAGAGGTCCTAAAACAATTGCATGAGTTACAGAGTTTGTAATTCATGCAAGAATACATTGCTGCTTTGTTTTGCACAGTTTGTTTCTCTCAGTGTAAATTGGCTGTCCATATTCCTTAAGGGCTTTGAAAAATCTCACCTCAATATCTTTCCACTTCATTATTAATTGATATTAACAGCAATTTACCTCTTATGGCTGGAAGTGTATTTTGATAATGCAGTCACATGTAAATGCATAATGAAATTGCTGAATGTTTGCAATGGTTTTTCCTAAAGACACATGTTCCTATTATTTAATGAGGAAATATTTAATCATCAAAAACATACTCTACCTCTGTGAAATGAATGTATGCAGAAACACGCCTGTGACTGTGTATAGAAGTCACAGTTATCTTCTAGTCTGAGTTGTTTTTTTTTTCTGTGGATGATTTGTTGATGGAAACTTGAATAATGCAAATAAAAATATTTTCCTTGAAACTACAAAACTACAAAAAAACCTTTTATTGATAGAACTAGTGGTAGCAGAGCTTGCTAATGAATGTTTTTGCCTATCTTACCCCTTATAGCGCAGAATGCAATGGTGTCCAAAAAGAAGGTCTAGAAGCTTGACAGTCAGCAGAGCCTTTCATGATTCAAGTCTGCTTGCTTCTAGCAGGACATGCAGTTGACTGTCTTTCAAACATCTGTTCTTCCTGATGTTATGCTCTTATTAAAAGGGATACCTGTGGCTGAAGTAATATCTAAAAATAATAATGAAAAAAGGCAAGATGCTAGCCATTTTCTGTTAAGAATAGTAAGCAGTGCTGTCAAGGACTGAAAATAATTTCCTCCGCTGGAAATCCTACACGCAAGTTGCTTGCGTAATGGATCCAAAACAGATCCTGCTGAGTAAAATTAGGGTTGCTGAATAGTCACTTATGTTGAAAAAATATGGTCCACCATCTGAAGACCAAAGCAAAAAAAATATTTTTTCTGGACTTGGAATTAAAAAATGACTTTAAGAAGGGCGATGCACAATCTAAAATTTGTCATTCGGAGCTGAAATGCATTATTTAGCTTTACAAATATTCTTCCTATATCATTTTGATAAATTAATAAGTATGCATAATGCCTGAAGATTACAAATTTATTGTTTTGTTTTGTTTTTATTTCTAGTAATTCATAGCGACAAACCTGAAAAGCAAGAGAAAATTGAAAGGAAGGAACCCATAAAAGGTAAATATTCCATGTTCTTTGTCTTTTTACCAATCATTCAAAACAGCTTGATCTATTGACTCTTGGACCACTTTGTAAATTGTAATTATGTTAATGGATGGAGGAGGTGTTCTGAAAGACATCTGGAAGGAGAATGAAGGCTCCTCAAGCACTTTGAATATATCACGGTGGAGAAAGGCTAACATTATGTTCATAGATTAATGAATACATTTTTACTGTGTTATTAACTTATGTAAAAGATGCCCAGAGCATAAATAGGTGCCTTTTTATTTCTCCTGAATAAATCCAAACATAATGTCTTTGAGCATACTTGTGAGCAAAATGTAATGAGTAAATCATAGCATGCAGGGCATGGCCCCTGGAGGCTTTCTGCTTCAGAGACATGTCTTTGAAAGAATTTTTCCCCCAGCCTCTTTCTGGGGGCATGAGGGAATATTAGAGGAAAAATTTCTAATCTGCTATTGGTGAGTACCTATAGGAAGTTACAGACCCACCTATTTTGGGAATCAGAAATGGGTTGGTACTTCCTCCCCATCAACAACTCCCAAGTCAGTTCTCTGCTCTCAGAGCCACCATCTAGTTTGCCCCTTGTGAGGGACCTTTTGACAACATGTTATTTCGCTGAAACATCCTGAAGTGTCAAAGTACTTAAAACATTTTGAAAAAAATGTCCTTTACATAAAATTTGTGTTAAGAAAATTTCCTCGAGTACAGAATAAAATCTATGATTGGAGAAAAAGACCATTCTGGAAGTGCAAATAGGGCAATGGCATTAATAAGTGCCCAAGAAATATAAGACACAAAATCTAGTCATGGCTGATTTATTTCAGACCAAAAAGGTAAAACTCTCACAACAAAAATGAACATGCACCTTATTGAAATCTATGTTTCCCTGGGCCTTTTGAGTAATATCTGATTAGAGCTTTTCCATTTTAGATAACTAATTCAAAATACACACAGTTAGCAAGACTGACTTTAGAAGTTAATCGTAGGCACATGAGTTCAGGTTTCCATTACAGTGAATATTTATTACTAGAAAATAGAACAATTATAAGAAGAGAAAATGTTCCTGATATCTGGAAAAATAAAGAAAACAAAAGGATTGTAATGTCCCACATAAAGGGGTGAATGTGTTGCTGAGACTTCTCCTGTACTTTTGTGGAAAACTTGGAAAATTCTTGGATATGCTTTGGTAAAAGAACAATTTGATAATGATTTTAAAAAAATCTTAGGATAGGAAAATCAGATCCCACCAAATTTCACCTATCTCATGTAAAGAATGAGAATTATTATATTGATTTAATTTATTATATGTCCTACTTGGTTCTACTATTGACCATGTTGTGTCCTAATATGAATGAATGAATGAATTTTGTCTAGAGAACTACTGCTAAAATTACTACTGAAATATTAATAAGGATACCAATTCTCTGGGTTCACCATACTAAAAATCATTGATTTCACAATGGATATTACATTTTCGAATTATAGCTATGGATACATACGTTTCTAAGGCTATTTCATTGTCTGAGAACCTTCAACATTCCACTGCCTTCCTGCAT